TGTGTATGTATATGTATGTATATAGGTCATATAGATATACACACACCCTGCTGTTTTGTTCTGAAAGAGGAAAAACAATTCTGCAAAACATGTACTTTGGTGGCCTGATTGCAATTGTTCTTTTGTGCTTTCTCTGCCCTTTAATTATGATGTCTGTCAAACACAGTGGACTTAAATGAGGAGAAAAGTCTGATGACCCCCTGTCCTTCATGTCTCATGAAGTCAATGAAGATGTCCGTTTCTGTAGGAATGATTGGATCAGTGAAGGACTCGCGTCTGTTTGTTTTTTCCCTGGTTTCATTTATTTTTAGAGTTTTTGTCCTGTTGCCAGTCTGTCCAGAAAGGGCCTTTCTAGCACTTAGAACTGTAAAAACTAGACGGGGAGATGATAAATCTATTGCCTCTCACCGAATAAGGGCTGGTAGTACACTAGTTCATCACCGACCATTCCTTTTTACAGCGTTTTCCAACCGAGTTGTTTTACGTGAGAGAGACAAATGTCTTGTTTTCTGAACAATCCCTTTGGTTTTAAATTAGTTTATTTATTGGAATAGTATAATATATAAGAAGTAAAATGAGTTTGTATGTTGGGCATTGAATTTTTTTTGTTTTGTTCCTTTTGGTGAATTAAATGTGCAACAAAAAAGTGCTGAAAATGTTTACTCCTGATGAAGAGTTTACGCTGATCTATCAGAAAAATGAAGAGTTGATACACTGGAAAACCCCTGAAGGTCTTCTGTTCTTCTGTCTTTCAAGGGGCTGTAGCTGAGTCATGTCGAAGAAGAAAGATGTGTTGAAGGGCAATACAAAGATTGTCCTTGTCATGATTAGCATAAATGTATATTTTGGTTACAATTCTTATTTTTTTGTGATAAAGATTCTATCTATACACGGTTATTCACATTTATTTTTGGCATCCTGTCGCAGCTGATTTTGGTCTTATTTCTCGATGTGTAGGGAAAGAAAGCATGCGTCTCTTACGGCACCGTGGAAGTGGTGATGCTGTCTTGGGGTTCAGAGCTGCCAGTAGAAATGACCAAGCACCAGAGTGTCACACTGGTCATCTCTCTCTGAACCATTCACTTCAAAACGGTTTCTCTTCTGCCTTTGCCTCATGATGCATATAACCTAACCTCTACCTATGTGTATGTCTGTCTGTGTGTGTGTGTGTGTGTGTCGACATGCATATATTCAGGAATATGTGTATGGGCGCCAATATTTATTATACTACATAGATGCAGTGTATTACAATAGGTCTTTTGAGGTTTTTGCTTTTGCTTGACAGTGTTTTTCAATGTGGTTAACTAGAATTCTATTGTACTTAGATTTCTTCTTCATGAGGTGCCGGGATATGCTGCTATTTGTGTCGCTGTAGGAGCATTACCTGTTGGTCTTTGTTTTGAAAAACAGAGACAATTCTTTGTCTGTCCAGATTGCTGCCAAATGTTGTAAATTACGGGACAGCTGGACACAAATCTGACAGTGCGGGTTCAGGCAACGTTGGCATACTGTACGCTTGCGGCCATGTTCTTTTCCGACACCAAAGAGTTGCTTAATTTCACACAGTTGTCTTGATTTTTCCCAAATGGTAAGAGTCAGTCTGGATACTATGGGCGACACTCTTGAGTCAAGACGTCTACTGGGTGTAGGGCAGGGCAGCTTGGATTTAGTTTTTTCTTATGGGCATGACGCACTCATTACCCAGACTGCTGTGCATGTGTTCAGAAGACAAGCAACGTGAATTAGAAGAGTTTTATTCCAAAATGAGATCATCTGACTATCACTGACCTCATGGGAAATAGTTGCAGACGTTGGACGTTTTCATCCATTTTGTATTAAATCTTGTATACTTAGGAGGTGTTGAGTTATCAATTACGACAAAAATGTTTTATCCAAGATGGATGAATACTTTTTGGAATAAAACCTTTCACTTTTAGATCAGAGAAACTGATCTGAAAGAGCAGTTATGTGGGTTTTGCACTATTTTTTTGTACTTAAAATAATTTAGTTTTGTTTTTATTGTGTTTATTTTTCTCTGTCCCATTTTGGTATTTTTGAAAGGACCAAAACATGACAGTATCTATGCTTATCTATGTCATTTACCAATTATGCTGATTGCTCCACTCTCAGATTTGTCTTCAATGTCAGGTTAATGATACTATGATATATTTATATATTTGAAAACAAATATATATATATATACTTTTAATGTAAATTATTTGGATGGAATAACTCATTAATGTCCAAACAATGGTTGTGCATAATTATCCATCACACATACATGACAATAAACATTTTCTGGTTCTGTAGTGAACATGCTCATCTCAAATTCAAACTGTGCTCCTGCAGGAGGGTCACCTCCTCTTGGTGGGCCGCTGAGTCTTTCTACAAAGTGTGGCCTCGACTTTAAAGTGCTTCAGTTTGCAACATATATGGTCTAAATGGTCTCTTATTGCACATTGAAGGATGCATGATATTAAGTGTTTGCAAACTTGAAGCAACCATGTATTATCCCTCTTGGAGATTGTCTGTCGGTCTGTTCTGGCATTTGTATTTACCACCATGTTGAACAAAACCGAAGTTCTCATCACACGTCTGAAGGTGTCCCATTTTCATTTGATCATGCCAATTGTGTATGTGTGAGAGATTATATTTATTTTATTGGTACATCCGTTTGTTATTGTTTGCTTCATGAAAACTCTTGCTTTCCCTGCACTGTCGAAATCGGAGCTCAGCGCAGCGTGCAGGAGAGCTCAAGGGTTTCTCAGTCGCCATACTTCCATCCATCCATCTGTCTTCTGGGATGAATATCTGTGGAGTTGCAGTATTTTTCTCATAGTAGGCAATTTTTGTACAGTTTTATTAAAATAAATTTCACATGGATGTCTGACTTAATCTGCTGCCACAAACAATTTAGACTGTAGATACAGTATATATAGATATTATTGTGCAATGGAAAATAAATGTAAAACCAATCATAACATGTTTTGTCTTGTGTTTTCTGTTGTACCGTTTGTTCACTGAATTCATTTAAAGAAATAAATGCTTTACTTATTCTCATATGGAAACTATTTGTCCCTCCAGAGGTCGGATGTGCTTCTTGGATTTATACCACAAATTTTTCATTTTTCACATTCCAACATTCAGACAATTTATTTTCAGATAAAACTCAAATTGTGGAAGAAGAAAAAAAATACTATTCATGTGTTGTCTTCATCCTGTATTGTATCTTGTAATGTTATGGTATTTTTCTAGTGTTTTCTTTTTACTTGTTTTTCATTAAAGGTGCACCTATACATTATTAGATCATAAGCTTTAAAAAGCCATATTGGCGTCAGTCCATTTTTAATTTACTTTTTTCCTAATACCACTGTATTTCAGTTATGTTTTGCAACTACTGGTAAGAATGGTTAAAAGCCACAGAACTCAATCTTAATTTTTTTTTCATTTCAAGCTGAATTTGGGGGTAAAATGTTTCATTATTTGATTTAAACATATGCTAAAACAAATATGGCATCTTGAGGATCTCACGCAATTTATTCACTCTTGAGTTGCTGGATACTGTGTTCAAATTTTTTTTTTTTTAATGTGGTTTAATTATTGATTTTATGCGTCTTTTAATTTTAATTTGATTTTACTCAAGAGTCCTACATTTCCCAGAAGCCCCGGCAGGTGGCAGTGATGCTCCTTGATCTCCCGTCGTGCAGCGGGGTAAAAGCTACAGCATGGGAACTGACGCCGAGGCTGAGCATCTTCACACACAGCCTGGACCGGCGGATGGAGCAGAGAAGTTGTGTACGGTGCTACGGGCGCAAAGTAAGCCGCATCTAGTGCTCTCTGAACAGGTATACAGCATTTTGCACGTTTTTATTTTCCTCATAGTAGTTATGTATCGCTCTGGCGTCAGCGTCAACCGCTTTCATTTTTTGCACCGGATGAATGTTTGACGGACCCTGTGAGCGTCTTTGCCCTGCAGCCGGTGCGATGAACGAGACAAAGAGGATGCATGCAGCCTGAGGAGACGCCGACTGGGCTTCACCGAAGTGTGGTCAACTCGATTTAAGTCTTTTCTCACCGGATAACTTTACGACACCGTCGACGACAGAAAGTAAGTTAGCATTAGAGTCGACAAGAGATTCTGAACCCGTCTTCGGCTGTTTTTTTGCTCAAGAGAACTTCATCGGGGTTGGAATTGTTAAAGGAGTTTCTAACATGCAGCCTCGTTGCTGTCTGCAGTTATGCATTCACTGTGGTCACAACTAGTTGATGCGTTTAATTTGGAGAATTGAACCTTTTGGATGTTCTATGGAGCAGAGTTGTGGATTGCCTCCCTGTGCTGTAGTGGTGTGAATGGAGAGGATGATGTGCACCTGAGGCAGGCCTCCTTGAAACCAGTTTTAAGATGAGCCTGGGTCCAAACCTCGTCCACGAGTGGCTGTCCAAGCTCCACCTGGCCCAGTACGTGGAGTCCTTCATTGACAATGGCTATGATGATTTGGAAGTTTGTAAACAGATTGGGGCACCAGACCTCGACGCCATAGGTGTCCAAATTCAGTACCACAGACACCGGCTGCTCACAGCGGTGCACAAGCTCAAATATGAGGACGAAAGCAAAGCTCCTGGCTACTATTTTACCTTAGAGCCCCAGGATGCCTCTACTTGCAACCACTCTTCACACTCCAACAGAGAAGATGACTTCAGGACTTTGAGCTCACAGACCGCAGGAACACACGAGGCCTCCTGTCCTGGAAACCACAACCCCAGATTCACAGATTGTAATGATTTTGTGACTTATCCCAAACTGAAGCTCAAGGTGCTGTTAAGGGATAAACTTGCAAAAGATGGAATCAACCTGGGAGAAGCACCTTACACCCATAAGGTAGGCAACTTACCTCCCTTAAAAAATGTTTTAATCAATATGATGATCTTAAATGCTGGCTCTTCACGCTGTCTCGTGGAATTTAATTCAGTTACTCTGTTGTGTTTGTGATGAAGAGTGTGACAAATGTCTTTGATGGTGCTGACGTCCAAGGATGCTTTGGTTTCTGTGGCAAAGATCTACTGAGAGTCAGTGTAGTGTTGTTAAATTTCACTTTCTCTTAATGAAGCAAAACATCAAAACAGTTGATCACGATTCACCAACTCTTTCATGTAAAGGTGTAAGGACCCCTAATCAATTTTAGGTTTTAATTGGCACGTTTTTTGCTGATTGGAACACGATTAACCGTTTATTCCGATCTTCACTGCTCATTAAAAGTTGGAGCAGACGTAAGGTGATTTGGATTAAAGCATTCACTACTGTTTATGTACACGCATCTTTAATACATTTTATGACATTCGCTGCATTCCAACTGTTGTATCGAAGTGTTAGGCCTACATATGATTCCCAGAATGCCATTCAACTTGCAGAGAATGGACATGAACTTGTTGCATTCAACTGTGGGTTCAGACCTTTGCTTAAAGACAGCATGGCTCCGCCATCATCCTGTACTATAGCACTAGTCACACTTCCAAAATATGGTGTTGAATCCACAGTGGCGTAGAAATTAAGCATATAAAATACAAAAAAATCAAGAACATCATCATTCTCAGGAAGTTTAAGGAGACCCCTGGTTCTGGATGTTTACATGGTGAGCATGGTAGTGATGGCATCATGAGTAACAGATAAATATACATTACCTTTGAGGCCATGAGGCTGCTTTGCATTCTGGTCTATTGAGGCCACTGTCCATTGAGTAGTTGGTACAGTAGCTCTGCCTTTCTACTCATTTAATACTCGATTACTCCTCGTACTGTTTGATGGTTTAAACGATGCTAAAGTGAGTCAAGAAAGAAGCCGTTGCTCTTGCATCAAACTGCGGTGGACCGGGTTATCCATTAGTTGTTAGCGTAGCAACACACTGAATATCTATTGCTCCTGACAGTGAGACCTGTGTGTCGCGTGGTATCTCGTTGGATTAGTGTGAGAGTGACTAACATGGTCGTGCAAAACGCAAGCCTTATGTTTTACAGTTAACAATGGCCTCTGTAGGCAGAGGTCAGTAGGACAATGGATCAGTTGGCCTTGAAGACAGGTGTCACATTTACTGACGGCATGCCATTTTATTTCTGGAGATCTTCTCTGTTCTGCCAACCGTCTTGTGTGGACTGCACTGGCTGTTGGTTAATGTAATTGCAGAAGATATTTATCCTTCTTCTCCCTCGACCAAATCCACTCAGTCCATGAAACACTCAGCGACTCGTCTGAGACCAGCCAGATGAAAAGCTGAGCGGCACATTTGGCATATTTTCAACAATCTGTCACCATCAGAGGAAGGCGTGATGGATGGATTCTGGATTTGACAACACATTTCTACTCCTCTTGGTTTTGTCTTCTGCACATCAACAATGAATGAATGTGGGCTGAGGAGCAGCCTTCCAGTTAGTTTGAGCTGATCTTTCTCCCATAACAGATCGTAGAGGATGTTGAATCTGCTTTACTGGATTGCCTTTACATATGCCTTCCTGATGTTCAGTCTTTTGTACCCATATGGAACATTCGACAGTGTTTGATGCATTCTCATTTATTCTAATAAAGGTAGTCTAATTGGAAACATTTATTTAACCTCTCTGTGGTGCCGTTAGCTTTAAAATAGTTCCACTGTAAAAACAGTATTCTGTGTTTCTGGCCAGTTTCACATCTACTTCATGAAAGATTCAGAGGCTGTAAACTACTAAGTGCAAAGGCACTTTGTGATTCACTTCCAACCTTTGTGTGTGTGTTACAGCTGATACTGGCACAGTTAGATTCATCTGGAAAAGATCGAGTTCTTTTGATTTAAACGCATCCCAAGCTCTGGAGTCATGCTGAGGTTTTAGATTCATTCACAGGGCCCAACCTATGAAATCTGTTACTTATTGAGATTTGACAGGAGTGATAGCAGCTACCCATATGCTCTGCTAGTTACAGGGATGGAGCCTCTGCAAAGTACAAATCATTTATGTTTTAACTTTGGTTCTCCAGCCCTTTGTGGTTAACATTTCGAGTATTATGTCATCCTGCTGCATTTCAGCAGGAAATAGGCCAACCTTTTTCGGCTCATTAAATTGTGCCCAGTGGATCCTCCTCCGTACAGATCATGGAGACGTGCGTGATTATTCAATTTGTTAACTGTGTGACTATCAGTTTGATTTGGAGCAGCTCGTCAACGCAGGGTGGATTTCAGACACTCAGGTGAAACTGGTTGGCTCTGTGTGATAACAGCAGTTTGGAGCAGTTTGGCCTTTCAGGTTCATTAGATTTAGTCCATTGAACAGTTGCAGAATGCAGGTATGTAGGCCAGTACGGCCCACTTTCTCCCCAGAAATAGCATACAGCAGCTTCAGGCGAAGTCTGGCTCTGCCAGCCATACTTCTTTGCTTAAATTTGTGCCGAGCTGGACTAAATATCAGTACGGTAAGATAAGAATAGGATATCAATGTTGAGATTTGGTTATTGTACTATAATTCACAATTCATTGTTGTATTTTTTTTTTTACTGTTTTTATTGGCAGGAATACCATAAAGTGTAACACGGATGTAAGCGGGGATTGATTTGAAAGTTGTGTTAGCACACGCACAAATACTGAAGCGCACACACACAGCTCTCCACAAGGCTGGTTTTCATACCACACATAAATAATGGCAAACACTGGCAATGGTCTCTGCCAGAAGAATGAGGAACTTGTAATACTCCACAACAGTATACACTCTACTATATATTACCCTATAGGGCCGGTTGCCATTCCGTCACTCTTTTTGTTTTTACACTTGCGTAGCCTTGTTTGTGTTTAATCTAGGCGATTTCAGACCACAGTATGTTGTGTCCACAGGCCCTGTTCTGTCTGCAGTTCAGGAATTGCAGTGGTTTGGATCTGTAATCCCACAATGCGTCAGTGTGGGTTTGGTAGTGCAATCAATGAGCAATGTGCTTTTCTGACTATTCTGCACGCATGAGAAGTTCAGAGGCCCACGGGACCTATTAGTGACTTTGAGAGAGAGAAAAAGTAATTTGATAAAAGCTGGTTGAGCTGTAAATGACCTAAACAATGGCACCACAACACATGTTTCACTGAAAGTGTTTATTTCCATAAAATAGACATTAATATGGAAAAGAAATTCTACCAAAAACAAAAATTCCCAAGACATTAAGAAGAACCATTAAGTTGGAGCTTGTATGAACACAAATAATGTAGTATTATAAAATGCACAGCAGATGCTCATGTTTACAAACCTGATTTATATATTCAATACCAAAGGATGTTTTATATATATATATCCTTATGTCAATTTAGAATTCAGTTGTTAACTTCAGCGAGAGCGCATCAACACGATTAACAAGCTTTCTAGACGTGCATCAACAGATCAGCCCTTTCATTTGACAGCAAAGCATCCATTTGATTGTCCATCACACACACAGACCCTGTAGGAAAGGATTCCTTTTATAGCCGTCTCAACAATGAGCTCCAAATCCCCCAGAAGGCCTCATTGCAGTGCCGGGCCTGAAAAACGTCCTCAGAATGGAGGACAAATCTTAGTTGTTCAGAAGGTTTCCCTGTGTCCCTCTGCTAGAGGATCGGAGGACAAGCAGAACCAGCAGGCTGCTTTTGACGGGAGAAAAGCCGCTCTGAATAGATCCGGGCAAAATACAAGCTCTGCAGCAGCTGACAGCTGTCTCTGCCTTTTGTCACTAAAACATGGAGACTGAACAGAACAAAGGTTTTAAAACACCAGCAATGCTTTTACTTTAATGTTGTTTAATGGTTGATGAAATCCTTTTTTTCCTTCTGTTTCCTTCAGTGCTTCACATGTAGTTCGCATTGTTGCCTCACAGCAACAAGTCCCTGGGTTTGAGGTCAGCTGGGACTTTTCTGTGTGGAGTTGTTGTCCCTACATCAGTCTCTCTCTGGGTGCTTCAGTTTCTTCCCACAGTCAAAGGATAAAACCTTTCACTCCTAAGCATCATCACTGCGGTTTCACTGATCCGATCCACTGATGTCGGTGCTGTTAGACCGTATACCCTTCTGGTATTGACCACAGTCACATATTATTTTCTTTTGAACATGATTGTTGAACAAAGCCAGGACAAATGTACTGGATGTGTAAGGGGTTGCTCTCGAAAGCACTTTGTAAACAGAAAATTAGGTCAGTTGGTGACTCCTTATGTTGGTGTTTTCAGGTTGAAAAGTATTGCACAGAGCACTCAAAAGCCCAACATGCCATGAACATGCTTGTCACTTACAGTTTGAGATTCGATTAATTCCTGTCCGGCTTATTACTCATGCGGTGGTCGGTTCCTCTCCTCAACACAACAAGGACAAGGACAGTTGTCATTGTACCAGCACATATTGAGCCACTGTGCTTTACTCCACTGCTGAGTGATATCATAGATGTATATGTAGTTCACAAAGGGAATACTTTGCTATGTATAATGTAGGCCACTATGTTAAACAGAGCATAAATCACTGACCTATATTTGTGAATTTAAGATTAGATGTGTCCGGTCTAAGTGGACCGGAGGTTCAAGACAGATGTAGATAGTAGCTCATTGTTCTGTGTTTATTCTTCTATCCAGTTCATTTTCATTTCAAATGTCTCTCTCGCTCTCTCGCTCTCTCCTTGTGTTGCCTTTAAGTAGAACTTATTCAGAAGTGCATCACCCACTTATGTCCAGCAACACACCATTTTCCATGCTGAGTTTGGACACAACAATATGTTTTCTTTTTCTGTTTTCTTTGATTGTAAAGTATTCAGTGGAAACATTTCCCTTAAGCACCCCCAGCTATTGAAACAGCCTTTACCTCTCTGTTGCTTCAGCTATTGTATTACAATGCTAAGTAGGTCTTTGAAACTATGTGGCGC